GAGGGGGCGGGGCCGCCCTGCCCAATCCGGGGGGCCTCCCCCTGCGGCGCGGAGCTGCCCGGTTCGCTTCCCCTGAGAGGCGCTGAGGAGCGCGGGGCGCCCCGGGCAGCCGTTGGGAGGCAGCCCGCCGGCAGCAAGAAGCAGCTCTGCGATGCACTGCGCGCAGCCCCGTCGTCTAGGCCAGTGTTTCTCACGCAGTGGGAGCTTCTCAACCAGCAGGTCGTGTGGGTGGGTGGGACTTCAACGCTCTGAAAAAAACAAATCACCGCGGTTTGCCCTTCCCATAGATGACTCGAGAGGTCTCTGGAGCAGGGCAAGAAGCGGGGGGCTGTTTTTATCAGGGGGTTTTGACACACTGGTTGGTGGGACGGAAGTGCAAAAGGCTGGGAGCGCTGTTCCCTCCCAGCGGCGCGGCAAGGACACACCGGCCGGCGCTTCCCAAACTTTTCCTCAGCGCGGCCCCTCGCTCCCAGCCGGCAGCCGCCCCATCCGCTGACGGTGCCGCCCCATTTGGGGTCGTGACGCGCAGTTTGGGAACGGCTGCTGTAGGATTTCCATCAGGGATGTCCCATCTGTACCTCGCTATGCTACAGTACGTATAACCGCTAGATGACTTGGTGGAGTTCCTAGGACTTCTAGGAATCTGCACGAAGGCAAATCAGAAGGGGGGTGAGGGTACACCTAGGCAGCATCTGTCTGCTCTTTGCTACATCCACCACTATGGTTTTGGAGCATAAATGTCTGATTTCAGTCCTGATCCTGGCAATATGCACAGGAAAAGCTCTATAGGTAGAAGCAGTTGCACTGAAGTCAGCTGGAGATAGTTATCCGCATGTAAATTGGGCTCAAGCCTGAGTCTTTACAGGATCAGGGACATCGATTAGACTAAGCCACACAGAAAGTACATGAGTCCTGAAATCAGATCCAGCCCCTTCATTTCAATGAACCATGCCTTTCACAAGATCTAGTTGTGGGATTCGGCCCTTGGTTTGTGTTCAGTATACACACATGCAACAGAATATTGCTCCCAAAACTTACAATTCTCCTCTGGGAGTCAATGAAACAGCTATCAGCTTCATGCCTTGACCACCTGATACTGAGGACTTCATTATTTCATTGCCTGTGGGAATGTCCTTTCAATTTAAAATGTTTGTCGTAGATTATAGAATTTTTTAACAAACTGGCACATGAAACACTTGCCTTAGATCTTTTTTCCCTGTTCATTTGGTGTGGATTTGGTATGAACCTCACTAAGAAATTAAACTTCAACTGCTTGGAAGTAAAGCTTGCATATTTGCAAATTATTCAATGAAGAGGAAAAAAAACAACCCAAATTTGTAATGAATAATAATCAGCCATCTGCAGAGCTGGTTGAATAATAAATATATATATTTGCAAGTAGAAGATAGGATAAAATTAATAACAAGTGATATTTGGAATTAACTGTTTCATCAGGTCTATTTAGAAATGAAAAACACCGTTTTTTCTTTTAGTAAAAAAAATGCTGTCCCTAATGTATGTATTTCAAGATCTACACCTACCTCAGACACATTGCAGTAAGGGAATTTTAAGATCAATGACCTTGACTTTATTGTTTTGATTTACAAAGGTGTTAGTCTGCTTAATCCAAGCTTAACAGGCCATTGGGCTAGCATGGCTGAGGCACACTGGGCATGTCTACACATATGTTTTAATGTGCAGCAGCCTATTTTACCGTGCATTAAAACATAATGTAAAAAACCCTGCAATTACACTAATGTGCAGTAAAATAGGCTACTGCGCATAAGCATCACTTAAAAAATGTACACCTTTGGTATTGCACATTAGGGCAGCTGAATGCACATTTATTTAGTTTCATTGGAGTAACTTTCATTGGAGGTACTAAATGTAATTCACATTAGGAGAAGTGCATTAATGCACATGAAAACACACTCACTGGGTACATATACATGCACTAAGTCAACTTAAAATAAGGTGACTTAACTAAGTTGACTTAAGTTAAGCCACATCAGAGTGTGTACACTTATAGCTCCTTTACGTGGTGGCAGCCATCTTGTGAGCTCAGTCGACTTAACTAATGCAACTCAATACACTTCAGAGGTGTATTACCTTGCACCATATTTAAGTCAACTCTGCTCCACGTATGTGTGTACAATCTGACAGTTAAGCACACTTAAAAAAGCTAAGTCAGCTTAACTGTCAGAAAGTTAGTGTATGTGTATGTACCCATTGAGGAACGGCCTGGCTAAGATTACATCAGCTATCTTTGACTCCTCATCCAGAATGACCAGGTACCTGTTAGCAGCTGGAGGTAGCTTTTTACATGACTCCAGAAAAGAGCTTTAACTTATGCTTTTGGAACTGAAGCAATGTACTTTAAGTACTTTACCTACCCCTTACTGAAGTATCTGAGTGCCTAAGAGTGTAGTAAAATTTGCAAATGGATCTAAACAGATTAAGCACCAAACTACTAACTAGATACTTACCTGCTTCTGTAGGTGACTAATAGATATCTTTGTAAATACAGCTCTTGATTCAAAGCCAGTTCAAGTCAGTGAAATGACTGACCTAATTTTAATGGAATTTGGAACAGGCCTATATAAGAAATGTGATCAGTTTAATGTGGCTTTGTTTCTTTATGCAGCTTGTTATTTCTGTGTGCCAGACGTATAGAATGACCATGCATTTTACACATGAGTAATTTTCATTTCAGAATTAGGAAAACAAAACCAAAAAGAGAAAAAGTAAAGTCTCCATAAGAACATGGTGTCTTTCTTCAAGTTCCTGGACATATGTGCTTAGGTGATCATATCAGCTAAAGAAATGGAAGTTGCTAATCTGCAAGGTAGGGTGAAGCTTGAAGGTAAAGTGAAGCTTGAAAATCTCTTTCAAATACCAGGAGGCAAAAATGTAACTGAAATGCATTATTAAGCAAAACAGCCATGTGGTTTTTAAGCCTATCTATGCACAGCCTGACTCATTATTTGTAATACTTTGGGTGAACAATACTGGTGCTTCCCCTCTAACTAGCTGCAACAACTCTGTAATCAAGATTACATTTTAGTAATTTAGGGGTGCAGTACACAGAAAACAAACAGCATCATAGTTTCATAACCACAACTAGGCTGATGAAAAAATACATTTTCACTTTAAGGATGATAATAGCATTTTCATGGCACCTTACAAGTTTGGGCCCAAAGGAGGAACATAAGCATAAATCCTTTGTGTGTGTGTGTGTGTGTGTGTGTGTGTGTGTGTGTGTGTGTGTGTGTGCATGTGCGTGTGCGCGCACGTGCACGCATATGTGTGTCTGCATGTGTGTAGCAAAAGAGACAGAGAGATTGTCAGAGTTTGGCCTTAATTGGATTTTTCAGTGTCAGGTGTAATTCTTGTCATTATCTGTATTCCACATTTATGCATTATGGTACAGACACTGTGTTTGCTAAATACTGCATTTCTGAAATTGGAAAAAAACAGTACACAGTTTATTTATATTTAAATAGTGTTATGATAGAGTATGCTCCTCAACGATTTTATTTTTAATACAAAACAACCCTTTTAAGGGTAATATTTATCATTTTTCAGGAATGTAGGGTATTAGAGCAACAGGTACTTTACATTTTGGTTGCAATGCACAGTACTGGTACCTATTTATTCATCAAGGCAGACTTATTTAGAGAATTATTCTGTTCCTTTGTCTTGAATTTTAATTTTGTGTTTATCATTTCATCTATTTATTATGTCTTTCCCAAGTTTTTGTATTACAGCCCATCACTGTAGGATCTGAGTGTCTCCCACATCACATAGGTTGACAATTTCAAAGAGTCCAGTGGAGGTATCAGGAAACTGCAAGCTAAATCTGGTGCACCACATGATTTTATCTGGCCCACAAAGCTGGGGAGCAAGCAGCAATTCAGCAGCGGGGAAAGCAACAGTGGTGGCCGGTAGGGCTGCGCGAAGCGGGCCCTATTCAATTTGGATTCAGATGTGGCCCGAATCAGGAACAGTGATTTGATTTGTTGATTTGGATCACTGTCCCTGATTTGTTTCAGCTGAATCTGAAGATCCGATGCTGATTCAGAGAATCAGCGATTTGGACACAGACACAGTTTTAAAAGCTTTTTCTACATACTTTAAGGTAGCAGGTGTGGTTTGTGATTGCTATGATGCTGGGGCGCATGGAGCATTCCACAGGAGTGCAGGGGGGCCCTCCACGTGCTCGGCAGAGAATTGATTCGGAGAGATTAAAGGGTTCTCTGATTCGATTTGGAGATTTTGCCATTGAATTGGGCTAAATCTCCACCAGATCAAATCAGGGACTGAAGCTTCACACAGCCCTAGTGGCTGGTTGCATGTGGCAGCCTATCTGCAGACTGAGCTGTGTTTATTTAGCCCACTGTTCCCAAATACTCAATGTTGCCAACCCCTGGGCTAGCAGATTTCATGGGCTTCCTGGTGATTCTCTCTGGGTTACAG